GATAATCCTAATCTACTCATAGAGAGAGAGAGAGAGAGAGAGAGAGACAGACAGACAGACAGACAGACAGACAGACAGACAGACAGACAGACAGAGAGAGAGACAGAGAGAGAGGTGCAAAAATTCCCACCATGAGAAAAACATCTAAACTCTTTTACTTTTGACTTAAGTTGATTAAGAACATTTTTGTCTATCGACTAACATGGCAAGACAGGATAGTGCCATAAAGTTGGCGGTGATGTGATCATGATAGTTTCCCAGCGGTTGGGGAAGTTGAGAATGGACAGAGGAAAGAAGTCAAACCTCATCAGCAAGACAAACGTGTCTGCAAAAGGGACATAACCCCTGCAGAGAACAACATGTGAACCTTTGGGCGGAAGAGGGAAGCTGAGACTAGTGTCAGAGGAAAAGACAAGGGCGTGGCAGAGGAGGCATTTATTATTTACACAACGTTAATCATTTTTTTGGTTTTTTTCTCAACGTTTGCCAAAGTCGAAAATTTTACCACCACAACTGAGCATAAAGAGACTTGCGAGCGCCTGAGGGAAGCGAAATCATAAGCAAAGAAATTTAAGATAATGACTGGGATGGGTTGATATGTCCTCCAAATTGTCATTTTCTATGATAATTATATACGATAATGATGTACGAGCAGGCCTGATACATGTATTCAAAAGAAAATCATACACCGAAAGAATTATGCACAAGCCTCTTTAACAAGGTTTAAACGTTTTGTTAATTACACAGGTGTATATTAATCTCGTGGTATTTAAAGACAGACAAAGAGAGAAGGAACATCAAGTAGGAGGAGGCACAGTTATATTGACTAGCAGCCTTCGGACACATTATTAGCGTGTTATGTTTCGATTCTGTATAGAGTAATAATGTTTGCAGAAAGAAACTTCCCCTTTGATAGTACGGTAGTTTCTGGGGGAGGGGGGTGGTTCCATTAGAGTTGTGACATTTCATCATGTCACTCTTCATTGAGGTGGGAAATTGTTTCGTGGTGATTATCTGATCAAAATACCCATGCTTACATCCTTGTACTTGCCACTATCAAAACTTAAAAGTCAACTTTATCTATTTAAGTTCTATTCATGCGCAGTACAGAAGAAAAGGTTTAGAAGCACAGTATGGCCGACATTTCCACAAACTCAAGTGTGCCTCAGAGCGATGTGTCGGATGAACTGCTTAGCTTTGAGGACTTCGTGTTCGCCGATGTTATTACAAAAATATCCATGTACATTTCCTTAGTATTCAGTACCGTATTTAATTCCTTCAACCTGATCGTGCTGGCCAAGCTTGGCCTCAAAGATACGGTCACTATTTGTTTCTTTTCACTCGCTGTTTCCGATTGCCTGTTGGTGGCGGCGGCCTCGTCTATGCTGTCAATTGGCCATGTGTTCAGCCCGCTGCTGCAGAGCTGGTCTGTGGACTCTTTCCACCTGTCTGTGCTCTTCTTTTACTACGGCCAAATGTTTCTGGACATTTCCATCCTCGTCACTACTTTCGTCAGCGTCCAGAGGTGCTGCTGTGTCGCTCTGCCGCTACGTTTTAAAACGGTTTTCACCAGGAAAAGAAGTCTTTTTGTCCTCATAGCTATCTGGACGTACGGTATAACCAGCTACCTACCTGTGCTGGTCAAACAAGGAATGCACTGGTCTTTTGACCCTCAGACAAACTCCACCATGTTAGTTATCTGGAGAGCACCGGGAAGGGCTTCTGCTTTGGTTTTCATGGACGTGGTCAACCAAACTTTCCTTGGTATAGCCTCAGAAGTTGTGGTCATCATCTGCCTCGTTCTCCTAACTCTGGCGTTAAGATCCACATCAAAGTTTAGAAAATCTATGATGTCGACTTCAATCACCCCAGATACAGCAAAGACGGGCTCCAAACTCAGCTCGAAGGAGGAGCAAGTGGTGAAGACAGTCACAGTGATATCTGTAGTCTTTGTCTGCACGAACAGCGCAGCGGTTTTCCTAGCTGTTGCCCGTCTTTGTGTACCAGACTTTGATCTCCTCAAACGGTTCCACAGCATCTTCCTCGTTTCTCACAATTCAAGAGCTGCTTTAGAATATGCTGGACCCTTCCTTAATTTTGTGTCTTATATGGTAGCAAACACTAAGTTCAGACTTCAGTTTTATGAGCTTTTTAACTGTATGCATGATTAGCATTTACTGCAATAAATGTATTGCTTTCATCTGTTTTCTTTGTTGTGGAAACTCGAAAAGAATTGGATGGATGGTTGGAGGGCGCCAATAGTTGGTCCTACTTCTTTACTTTCCCTTCTATTGTTTAAGCCTGTCTGTCTTATTTATACCTGCTCTTAATGACCAGTAATGTGTCGATGTGCTTTTTTAATGGAGAGATTTTTTTACGCCCCCATCAATACAATTTAGATCATTGAGGTGGTGGGCTTACGACCCTGCCTGCCAAGACTAACCCAGGCTGAGAGGGATATCTCATCCAAGCAGAATTGAATAGATACTCCATAAAAATGTTCTCCCCACTCAGGAATCGAACTCGGGTCTCCTGCGTGCAACGGCGAAGCGCCTTTCAACTACACCTCATGCGGCGGTGGTGGGCTTTTCTTTACTCAAACAAATGAACAAGCAAACTAACAAGCAAACACATAAATAAACAAGCAAAAAGAATGATATTGTTTGACTCGGCACAACTACTTAACCCAAGGTGACATTCCAGCAATAGCAGCACCGAGAGCGTGGGAAGAACAAAGTCTTTATCGTACTCTGAGCCCGACCAGAAATCTTGTGGAACTTGTCAGTCTGTCAGTGGCAGGACGCGTCAGTCACCCACTTGTTCACGGTCGCTGTCTCGCTGGAGGTTTTGTGTTCCTGGCGCGCGTACTAGGTGCCCATAGATCCACTTCTTCATGTGTGCGACGATACAGATATGAGTTAGGCTACGTTTCAGTAAGGGTTCTTACGAATTGATACTGACATATTTCTTGTAAATGAACTACCCCCGCCCCCTTACACACACACACACACACACACACACACACACACACACACACACACACACATACACACACAGGCACACACCCTGATCTCCCACTCCCTTCCACACGCAGACAACGTGGGCCCCAGCCCCAACCTCTTCTTTGACGTTCTGGTATTTTCAGTCCGTCTGAAACATCCGCATCTGTCTGGTCAGCTTTTCTTCTTCTCCATCTGAGTGTGTCCGGTAGTTGGACGTTTCTTCTCGGATCTCTCTGGAAAAAAAAAACAATAACCCCACTCTGCCTGCCTGGGTTGTTTTGGTTCCAAGCCAGGTTTCTGTCTCCCGTTTCTTGTCTCCTTTGTTTCTCTACATTTTGATGACCGGAGTTACCTAAAGCCGTTATATCGGTTCTGTTACAACCTCAGGTAGAAAGTGGTTACTGACTCCTGTGGAGGCAACTTGTGGTAGGCTTGTAGGCGTCATGAGAGCCTAAATGAAAATTGTTTTAAAATGAAGGTATTTTTTCGCCCCCATTGACACAATTTAGATCATTTAAGAAGCAGGGTTTGAGCTTGCCTGTTAGTGCCAACCTGGGCTGAGAAGGATAAAATATCCCATCATCCGAGAAACTCGATAGAAATTTTCTTCACATGTGATTCAAACTCGGGTCTCCTGCGTGCGATAGCAAAGTGGTTAACCGCTACACTACAGACGACAGTCACAGGGACCTAAGTGCGCACATAAAGATTGTCACGAGGGTATGTATCTCACAGGCATTGTCGTATGTTCTACATTATTTCAGTCACTGGCATATTTTCTATTTTGTCATTGACGGATGTTCTGTATTATCTCAGTCAGTGACGTACGTTCTGTATCTCACAGTCAATGACGTATGTTCTATATTATCTCACAGTCACTGACGTATGTTATATTCATCTCACAGTCAGTGACGTATTTTCTATATTATCTCACAGCGGACAGGTTTTTCAGGCCCCGATTTTTTTCTTTTAGTGTCTATATGTTTATTATTCTTTGTGTTTAATACACGAACATAGCGAAATTCGTGCATAACGAAAAGATGTCAGCATCCCTCCTGTTTCGCTATGTATGGGTGTACTGTAGTTCATTCATCAATATCTAACGATGAAAAGTGTATTTGTAGAGAACGTTTCTTGAAGAATTTTGTTTTAAAGGATTAAGATAATTTATGGTTTCTGCTGTCGGCAATGAGACCAATTCTGACTGAGAAGAGTTTGCCACGTTTAGAGCATTTAAAAGCTTCATTTCCACTCGTGGATGTGCGTAGCTTATGGGCTTCTCTCTTGGCTTCAGCATTTCTTATTCCTCAAACCTGGTATAACTTGCTGCCCTGCGTGATTTATGCTACAAGTGCACGAAAAACAAAGCAACACAGTGCTTTGAACACCGTACTAAGTCACACACACCGTCACATAATTTGGAATCTGATGATCAGAATCGTATGAGAGTTCCCACTGTAAAGTCAAATAATACATTGGACGGGGGAGATGTGTCTCCCCATGCCCGCAAGAGATGAAACCTCCTCCCAAAAGCAAATGCGTTTTACGACTCCAAACAGACTTTTTAAGTGAAAAGTCTGAAGGTAGCTTCCAGGTATTTATAAGGATCGCGTTTGGTTCTGCATTATGTATTAAGATAAGATAAGATAAGATAAGTCTTAATTGTCCAGATCCTAGCTCATTGGTTTGGTGTTTCACCATGTACATACACACGTACATGTATACACACACACACACACGCACACACACTCACGCACACACACACACACACACACACACACACATACGCACGTACGTGAGCAGTCATACACACACACACACACACACACACACACACACACACACACACACACACACACACTCACACACTCACACACTCACTCAGTCACTCACTCATCCTCTCCTCCACACACATCTGTCACACAACCATAATAATATAACAATATGCTTGCACTCACTGACTCACAATCATATGCATGATATAAACGAACAATGATTTTTTTTTTTACATTAACACTGTTAAGCTAGCTGCGTATTCAGTATTCTGATTGTAACTTAGTGTTATTCTGATATTGCATGCTGTAAAGGTCATAGAAATACTTATTTTACAAAATGATTAAGATGGTATGGTTATGATTATGATCCAGACAAGGAGAAAGAGGAGGAAGAGGAGGAAGAGGAGGAAGAGGAGGAGGAAGGAGAAGAAGAAAAGAATAACTGGAGGAGGAGGAAAAGGGGAAGAAGGAGGATAAAGAGGAGGTAAGAGGACTAATATGAAGAGTTGTTGGTGTAGTTGCTCTACTCCGGGGTTCACCAAACGACGGTCAGCTGGGCCAGATCAGGCCCACAAGGCCAGTCCGTCTGGTCCGCACCCATTCCGCTATGCGAGAAAAATAAATTGGAAAATGTTATTGTAGCGTGTTTGGGACTTGGCCGCCAAAAGTAGTATAATCATTTCATTTAACTCCACATTGATAACTAAACGTGTTTTATAGACTTCATAACTTTTAGCTAAAAGATCACACTTTTGCTCGGCTTAAATGTGAGGCATCTTTCATTTAAAAGGTTGGTGTATTGTATTGAATGAGCAAAATATTTTTTCCGACCCGCGTTTGGCATTCTCTCAGTTGTCTGGTCCTCTTTGAAACAAGTCTGGTCACCCCTGTTCTATTCTGTTGCGATAGCGTTTTGCTTTTGTATATTGTTATTCGGTACGAACTTGTTTATTTCAACAAAATACTTATTATATAACTATCTCTTTCCCCTGTATCGTCTCTCTCTCTCTCTCTCTCTCTCTCTCTCTCTCTCTCTCTCTCACACACACACACACACACACACACACACACACACACACACACACACACACAAACAAACAAACAAACTTCCACCCATTCATCTGTAGCGGGTGGTTGATCTTGCTCTTGAAGTGCAATTATAATACCCGGCGTCTAAAAAAATAGAGGGGCATTTAAAAGGCAATAGATCAATTTCGGCAAAATTTAAGATACATGTAGATGAGGTTCAGCTGAAGAGTTGTCATACTGCTTAATTTGAAGAAAATCGACATCATGTTCGAGAAATACCAAGCTGTTAATGATTCCACCAAAATTGAGTAAAACGCAGAACTTAACAACTTTTTTAAAAATCGACCAAAAATGTAAATGTATATTTTAAAGAACAAATTTATTTAAAACTGTCTTTACCAGTCTCTTTATGGGACACCAATGCAAATAGTAATAGCGAAATGTAGGCTACCCTCTACCTTATCTGCTTTCATACAGTCTAGTTCTTGTGTGTACACCAAATTCAATCAGCGCAGAGTATAAATGAGCTCCTTGACTCTCTACAAACCCAAACTCAATAGCTCCAGCAACTTTTCTGTAATCATAAAATTATTACAAATACTGAGACAAATACACGAATACAGGTTCCATCACCCCTTTTTCCGGTTGGATATTTTATTTCTTTTTTAAAAATCTTTTTATTCTATTTCTTTTTTTGTTGTTGGTATGTTTGTTTTTGTTTTTGTTTTAGATAGCGTTTACGGCACTATCAACACAGGACTGGCAATTTAACCTCTAAATTCACCCTCAATTGTCGGTTACTCGGTTACTTATGTTTGTTTTTGTTTTGTTTGTTTGTTATCGTTGTTTTTTTTGGGGGGGTTACTTCTTTTTTTTCAATTTGTGGACATTTTTCCTTGCAGGTCCTGCCAGTTGTGGTCTACTTCAGCACATGCGTGTCCATGCTGTACTACCTGGGGGTCATGCAGGTGGTCATCCGACAGCTGGGCAAGTTCCTCACCTTCTGTCTGGGGACCTCGCCCTCTGAGTCCATCAACGCCGCCGGAAACATTTTTATTGGACAAGTGAGAAGAGAGAGAGAGAGAGAGAGAGAGAGAGAGAGAGAGAGAGAGAGAGAGAGAGAGAGAGAGAGAGAGAGAGAGAGAGAGATCATGTCCGGTTTGGTGGGTTCTAGGCTTCACAACATTATTTCGGTTGTATGTACTTATGATGGTGTTTATTTTGGTGAACCATCTCTGCTTTGGTTTGTTTATTTGTTGTTGTTTTGTTGTTTGTTTGGGGGGGGGTTGAAGGAGTGGGGGGGGGGGACGTCGTTAATCTTTCCATTTTTGAAAGTGCTACCAATGATAGATCTATGTCGTCAAAATTATCGAGGGTATTCCGATAGCTGAGTTGGTATCAAGCTGGACTACGGGTCGAATGGCCCTGATTCGAATTCCCAACCGGCCAATCTTGAACTTGGATTGTTTGTGGGCGTTATTAAGGCTGTCCACCCGTTTGGCTCGGCATTAATGGAGAAGACGTTAAACTTAGGGGTCTCGCCTCTTATACTCGTATAGCATTACAGTGTTGAAAGAGAGGTTTCATTTCATTTCATATCATTTCATTTCTCTGGTCTAGCGGCCGTCTTAACTACCAAGAACCATAACGATGACTGACATTTGGCCAGTATGGTGTTGATGATGTATTTTCACGCCCACATAGACACGGAGTCAGCATTTGAAAGACGGTGGTCTTGGTCACCCACCGGGTTACCGCGTAAAGTGGAAATATTCCGGGGGTGGGGTGGGGGCTTAAAAAATTCAGACCCAACTCGATTTCAAACCTCCGACCCCTGCATGACACCGCTTGACCGATCAAGTTTGTTATCCACAGCACCGCAAGAGAACAAAATGGCGTCCTATTTGCTCGTAAAATACGGAAAGCTATTCAACATGTCGTGAAGGCAGCAAATTCTGACATTCAATTTCTGAGCATCACAAACTTTTCTATAACTTTGCTCATATCGTATTTGTTTAAAATAGATACCAAAATGAGTAGAAAGCCTGCATGTAATAAATATGCAGTTTGGTTAAGATAAGACGGAATTGCTAGGCTTTGTTATTATTGTTATGACTATGATCAACTGAGTGAAGCCGTGCTCCAGCTAAACTGGCATGCCGTATACATATGTTTTATAAGTAGTGTGTCATTGTGCTTTCTTTTTAATTTACATTCTTGTTGACCACGTTATGTTGTATTTCTGTCCTCTGCCAACTTCCAGACTGAAGCCCCTCTCATGATCCGACCCTTCCTGAACGACATGACCAACTCGGAGATTCACGCCGTGATGACGGGAGGTTTCGCCACGATAGCTGGCTCCGTCATGGCTGCCTACATTCTCTACGATGTGAGTAAGGGTAGGATTAAACAGATCGTGTGGTGAGTAAGGGTTGGATTAAACATATCGTGTGGTGAGTAAGGGTTGGATTAAACAGAATGTGCGACTCCCTGAAGTGGAGGGAGATGCGCAGCGTCCTAGGCTAAAAATGTTGCTCTGAAAGTCTTTGAAAGCATGAATCTTTACGCCAAACCAACTTTTAAAACTTCTTTTTTTAAACGAATAGACCGTACTTAGGTTTTTTACGTGCAATAGTGAAGGCCTGATTGCTACACCACAGACTCTCTCTCTCTCTCTCTCTCTCTCTCTCTCTCTCTC